CAGCATGGCTGGCTGGGGAATTCTGGGAGTTGAAGTCCACTCATCTTAAAGTGGCCAAGTTTGGACAACACTGCTTAAGAGGCATAGGAGCCTGCGTGGTGATGAATAGCAGTTCAAGTGCAGAAGAGATAACAAAGCCATGCCAAGTCTTCCTGCCTAAATTACCCTGTCAACTGATATGGTACAGTGATCCAACTGTGCCAGTTCACTGAACTGGACTGTGACTTCCCTTCCTGAAAGCACAAACTATTAAAAAAAAACAAAACCCACAATCCCCCCCCACACTATTTCCTTTATTGTCCATGTTTCAAATTTATTTACAGTCTCCATTTTCTCTCTGGGGAAAGCCATATTGCTGAAAAGTGTCACATATAGACAATTTGTTCTATAGTTAAGAATCCTTATTACAAATAATAAAAGAAACAATTGTGTTCTAGCCTGGTATAACTGTGCTATGATCTTCCAGTTATTTACCATCCATATCAATGCAGTTATACCAGTCCTGCTTATTTTTTACACACATCTACCCAAAGGATATTCAGCAGTTCCATTTGCACCACACAGCACATTTGTTCACAACATACTCTCAAATGACATCAGTCATAGCCTTGTCAATGACAAGGACAATAACCACCAACTATTTGGATCATGGCCATTGGTTGTCAGCATCACACCATCTGCAACATAAGGAGACTTGAGCATTTAATATGTCTGCCTGCCTGCCATCCTAATGTGATCTTTTAGGATAGTGTTTTCCAACCTTGGCAACTTTAAGATGCTGGCTGGGGAATTCTGGAAGTTCAAGTCCACACATCTTAAAGTTGCCAAGCTTGGGAAACACTATTTTAAGGTATTGATCTATACATGACAATATCAATTAAGGTTTTGAAGAAGAAAACTACCTGAAATCCTTAAGGTACAATAGTAGCCATCAAAAGAATTATTCACCTGCATGTGGCACCTTGTTCAGTAGATCTTGTGGAATCCTAGATCCAATTCAATATGGAATAAACGAGCAATTCAAAGAACTTGGGAAGGGAACCTCTGCCAATTAGACTAAGGTCAGACAGCATAATTCTCATCAAAAGTACATCATTTGGGGAGGGTGGGCTGAGGGCTGCATTGATTGCAAAAAGTGGCTGCCACCAGGGCCAGAACAAAGATATGAACAAGGCTAGGTCAAAAACTAAATTTGATTTTGATTCAATGTTAAAATGTATATGTGGAAACTAATTGTATTTAATTAGGTTAATTTACCTATAGTTAATAGTATTCCCCCAGTATTTAATAATTTTGCTTTCGTAATATTAAAAAACCTGTAATTCTGTGGTAAGTTTTGAAGGACGTCACCATGGCCTTTGGAGGACTAAGCATGACTCTCTGACACAGGTTCTAAAGCCTGCATTAGATAGAAATTGGCTAAATGGATCAAAGTTACACATTCATTTGAGTCATTTTTGATCCTCTGAAAACCACTGGCAGAGTAAACACTGTTGACTTGATGAAATTTAATATGAAGCATATATCTGACAGTATAAAGGAGCTCTCTGTATTTTGACTGCTTTTAAACATGTAAGCTCACTACCACATTTCTATCTTATGCAACTGAACTTACTGTATTTATCTCTCTTATAGTTCTCTGACAGTTGTTCAGGCAGCAAGTAGGTCTTATTATAGTCTGTCTGAACCTTGTGTTTTCCAACTTTAACTCTGATAATAATGGGGAACTGCCATATTATATGCAGCTATTAAAAGTGTAGCACCTTTGTCCAGAAAAAGATAGTAACCCTACTTCTTTGATTTTGGACTGTGAACTCACCATCAGCAGTTCTTTAAATAATGGATACTCACTGAGTGTTCTATTTAAAGCCCCAAAACAAAGTACTGTATACCTTTTAAATAATAAATAAGGAACAAAATGCCTTAATGTGAGAAATACAATGAAGAATGCCAATCTTTCTTTTTAAAAAAAGTTTTGTATTTCACCCTAAATGTGAGACTTTGCCCCAGATACCGGTATATTTGGGAGCACAAAAAAGAATTATGAACTGACAGAATATGGTCTCTGTAACTATTCTCTAGTGCACAGAATAGAAGGAACCCTTTAAAATAAATTCAGTATTCAGATGCTCACTAGAAAGACTAATAAGCCTGAGAAAATTGCTCCTATCTTCCTGCAACTAAAGAAAAAATATATTCTGCCTGAAAGTCTCAAGGGGATGCTTTTCACGATTGACTGGATCAATGTCAACTGACTTCTAATTTCAATGCTGTTAGTGTTCTTGGGAAAATAACATGCAGTAACATGCACATGGGATCCTTTCCAGCTTTTATTTAACAGGCCAAACTGGTCCCATTATAAATATCATTACAGAAGGAGAATTACATGTTGTACTGAGAGAGGCAGTACCCAACCTCTTGTTTGAAAAAATCATTAGGCAACATCAATTTTGCCTTTGGGTACAAAATAACTGAGTCTTGAGGTCATGATGGTAGCTCGGTTTCTAACAATCCTGTGCAGAGGCAGCTTCTTTGATCATTCCAATCAGATTTCCAAACCAGACACAGGTCAAGCATTGTTTTAGTATGTCTCACAGATGTTTGTCGTCTGGAAGCTAATCTAATATTCCCCTGGGGTGATTTCTTATCTTCCTTTTTGGTCCATTTTTACATTCTCGAGGACCACCAGACAATTACCAGAAAGCAGCCTGACTTCCGTCTGGGAAAAAAGTACAAGTGCTTTAACTAATGTACTCACTAAGATAAATGCAACTTTTAAACCAGGGTTTCTCAACCTTATCCACTTTAAGATGGGTGGACTTCAACTCCCAGAATTCCCCAGCCAGCCAC